ACCTCCAGCCCTCACGCTCAGCGCTTGCACATAACGCCCCGTCTGCCCACCACCACCCCATCTGCGGCAGCCAATGTCCTTTGCCCTTGTAGGGTAAAGACACCCCAAAAAACTGTTCGCAGATGGTGTATGACGCCGGCCGAACCGAGTTTTAGGGTTGGTTTTTGGCGATAAGCTGCTGAAAGTTTATGCCTCATTGGCCATAAACTTTCAGCAGCTTATCGCCAAAATGTATAATTGCGCCGACCGCTTGATATCGTGGTGTTATTTATTTCGCATAAAAAATGTGAAAGCTGGCAATCTTTGATTGCATAAGTGCTGTTGGAGAAAAGTTATTAAAAGTGATTAGAGAAAGAATATTGAACAGCTGTAAGTATATACAGTGAGTCAAAAACAGAGAGAAAAAAACGATGAAATTTCGCGACTAAATAGTGCCTGCTAAAGTATCAAATTAGGCACAAATATAAAAACGTTGCTGTAAATGCCAACCAGAATAAATGGGCAAAATGACATCGTTCGGATTGTCCGACTGCTTCCAATTGATTGGTTCGGCACGTGGTAGACGTAAGATAAACGTTCCCTCATCCACTTGTGTACGGATAGATACCATCGATACTTTGCTCAAATCCTACAGTTGACTTTTTCTTGTATTTTAAAGTTTAAAAAAAACAATATGAACGAGTAAGTCGAGAAATAAGAAAAAAATCAAGTAAATTAAGAATAAGAGGTAAATAAGAAAAAAAGTTAAAAAAAAAACAATATGAATGAGAAAAAAGTCAAGAGAGAAAAGGGGGCTGGGGACATATGACAGCCAAAATGACGAATTGCAATGAAATCATTGGCGACGCGCACCGGGCGGGCCAGTGCGATCATGCATTTTTGCAGTATTTCTTGCTGTAATGAGATCGCTTAGAAACCCAGTAGCCAGAAATGTGAGACATACCGTTCCTTGAAATTGTCTATGCGGTAGTTGGACAGGGAATGTTCCTTAAAAATTTCAGCCTCCCAGCTCCCCTGATTCCCGAATTAGCCATTTCTCCGTCAAAAATTTTCATAAGGCCGTACGTGAGGACCACGCACATCGAGAGACTGAACTTGGTAAGTTTAAGTCACACTTTTGCTGGGAGCATTTCCTGAAATTTCAGCCTCCCAGCTTCCCTTGTTCCCGAGTTAGCAAATCTTCCCACCAAAAATTTTCACGGGGCCGTACATGAGAACCATGCATGCCCGAGGGCTGAATTTGCTAACTATAAGTTGTACATGGGCTGGGAGCATTTTAAAATTTCAGCCTTCCAGCTTCCCTGGCTTTCCAAATCAGCGATTTTCATGCCAGGAACCTCAACGGGACCGTACGCGGGAATTACACGTACCTGGGGAATGAAATTGAAATTTTGAGTTCCAGGTGGACGGGGGAAATAACCCGAAATTTCAGCTCTTTAGCCTTTCTAGTTGTCGAGTTAGTGGTTTCCCCGCCAAAATTTTCATACTCTCATACGCGGGGCTCAGACTTGCGTGAGAATTGGTGCCGCGGTCCTGGAGTGGCACTTGGCTGGAGGACGCGTAGACAAAATTTTGGCGCCGAAGCTTGTTTGGGTGCCGAGTTGAAATACCCGGACAGACGAACACACGCACATACACACACACACATACACACACACACACACAATAAAACAAGTGGAAGGAGTTTGCAAAGCAGTTTTCGTACCTTATCCCTGATCATTATTGCTCGGTCTCCATCTAGTAAATAGATTTCCTTCGCAAGTACGACGGACTTTGGATGCCAGGTGTAAGTTGCTTCAACAACAGTGTTTCGACATGCTTCGACTGGACTTTTGCCTTCTTTTGCAAGCGTTTCGGTCGCTCCCCAAATGAAAAATGTCACTTGTATAGAGTCTTTCGTTGCTCCCTTTACGACGCCTATTTTGCCGATGTACTGAAACACGAATAAACACTGTAATTATTTAACTTTCAGCTATCTTGCGGTCGAACACAGCAGCAAAACTTGAGCAAATTTTTACATGTTGAGACAAAACTAGGCAAATTTTTTGCATGTTGAATTATGCATTATTTTTTGCTTTTTCCAAACTGCTCATTTAGTCAGTTTTATTTTATGTCATAGCCTATGCACAGCAATGTTCAGTCTCACAGTTTTTAAGTTCTAATGCGACTATAACCGTAGAATGAGAAAGAGAGAAAAAATGCAAATAACCCACATGTACTCTGTACTGCTTATCCTTAACTGTAACGGTACAGTAGCATGACGTGCTATGGCGTTGCGAATTCTGGTATGGGGAAAGTGTCCGATTTCTTTTCAGTCCGTATTTAATTCTCTAAACGTGCCTCGTATGTTTGAAAGTGCTTCTGCATCACAATATTATCAAACACTCCACATTGTGTATGCAAACAGTAACGCTCGCACTTTTTATGCGTTTTTGCCGTGCAGCACTAGAGCGCTGCAATAGGCAGCAAAAATGCATATTGCAACGACGCTGTCAGTTGTGTGTGTGTGTTTGTCTGTTCAGGTATTTCAGCTCGCCAACAACGCAAGCTTTGGAGCTAAAATTTTGCCAGTATGTTCCCCAGCCAAATGCTACCCCAGGACCACGATACCAACTCTCATGCACGTCTGGGCCCCGAGTACAATCACGTGAAAATTTTGGAGAAGAAATTGCTTTGGAACGAGAAAAGCTAGAAAGCTGAAACTTTCGGGGAGTGTTTCCTACTTATTTGCAACCAAAATCAGGTGTTTAGAAGCATCCGGGGCCCAAGTACGGGCACATGGAAATTTTGGCGCGAAAATCACTAACCCGGGAACGAAAAAAGCTAGAAAGCTGAAACTTTCGGGGAATGTTCCCTACTCATGTATGACCAGAAGATTTCAAATTCAGCTTCTTAAAACAATTCGGTACTCACGTACGGACACGTGAAAATCTTGACGGGGAAATTGCTAACTCGAGAACGGGAAAAGCTGAAGGCTTTAATTTTGAGAGAATGTTTCCTACTCATGTGCGACTAAAAGATTTCAAAGTTAACGCTTCTAGTGCGACCTTTTTTGCGGATCAGCAACTTTTCATTTGTCGGGTCACTGAAATCGACATCTACAACTAACATACCACATAGCTGCACAATTAACTTCCCAAACTTCAAGGACCAGTATGTCACAGGGTTAGCTACTGTCACTCCTTGCGATCTTGCTACGGCACGAAAAGTGCAAAAACACATAATCGCACGGCCCGCCTGGTGCGTTCCACCCTGGGTTTAATGCGTCCTTGCATATATGCAAATACGAAAACGCATATTATGACTACCCACGTTGCGTGTGTGTGCATGTTTGTATACATATATATATATCCTGCTCGGATATTTCAACTCGGCAATCAAGTTGAAATACTCGGCCAGACACAC